GTCCCGAGTTTTGGTTTATAATCATCGAAATAATATATTGACTCTTTACACCATTCCTCTAATAAAAAAAAATTTTCTCTTTTACAATATTCGAATTCTTCTTTATTTAATTTCGAAACAAAAAGATATGTTGATTCTACAGTTAAAATGTTTTTAATCGAAAAACAGGTGTTGAATAAGTTAGTTGGCATTCCATTTAAAAACCACGAGCTTTTTTTCAACTGTCCTCCTTTTTCGAAATAACTGGGAGGAAGCAGCAATGCAGTAATTGGGTGAAATCCAGGTAATAAACATTTGTTACATGAAGGAGCAATATTATGTATTGGTGGCAATAGATATGGTGGATAACCAAACGAAGATATTGAAAATTGCGTATCCATAGGTATTGGAAAATTTAATGCTTGACATATAATCTGAGGATAATAAATCAAGTATCGTGGGAAAAACTTTACAATATTCGATTCTTTATTAATATAGTCAATTAAACAAAAATTTGTTTGTTTTCTCAAAAGATTAGACATCAAAAATACGAATTCATTATAAATGGGAAATATTGAACTTTGACTAAAAAGTTGAGACACCTCTTTGTTTAGTTGCAGTGTATTAAATTGATTTTTTGAATTATACAAAGTATGATTAATTAATTGAGTTCCATTTAATAAAGGATACTTTGAATAATAGTTTACTGAATCTGAAAATTCTGTAGTGTTTTTATAGTCTGGAAAAAGTAATCTTTCTGTTTCGAGGCTATTTTCTTTGAATTTTACAAAACACTGATTTAGTTTACAGTGATCTTTGTATTCATCTAATGTTTTATAACTATTTTTAGTATTTGAATGGGCCACATCAATAATTCCGTTATTGATCGTTTTATAGTCATTTTCAAGATTCTTTTGGAAATTTATTTGAAAATCTTCGCAATGTGTCATTCCATAATCAATAATATGGCTAATTTCAGTTTTTCTTATTTTTTCATGTTTGAAGATATTACTATTTGAACTATTTTTTGATATATTATAAATAGTTCTTTTCTTTCCATTATTACTTATTAGATAAAGCTTTTCCATTAATGTCTCGCTTTCTCTTTTTTGTTATTCTATGCTAACAATAACTTATTTCTGCGATTTATTTTGAAATAAGATATTGTCTAAAAATTATTATAGATTACACAAATTTTTTAAATATGTTGTAATACAACAATCAATTCATTTCTACACTCTTGTAAATGATTGTCATTACATCTTTAACATGAGAAAATATTGAGATTATATAAACAGCGCGTAAGAGAGATGTTTAAAGATCCTATTTCATTCTCGTTGACGAGCAGATCAAGGTAAAAAGTAGTAAGCAAAAAGTTATGATACGATATAAACGTACAAGTAGTTAATACATGTTTAGTCGCACTTAAGTATCAATAAATCTCTACTACAGAAGTCAGGTAATAGGAATAAGAAATGATTAAAATCAACTGTTTTACAACAAGAATTCAACAGTATTTAAAAATATAGAAATTAATCCTGTACCTTTTCAGTTTGTAAACCTGCAAATGTAGCAACAGGGATATATTGCACAAGAGTGTACAAAGAATCTTTAGAATCTTCTGACTCGCTACGCTTTCTAGAAATTCTTACACGTACACGTGTAGGCAGATTTCTAACACCCTTGCTGAAAATGAATTTGTTGAGTTTCGCGTCAATTCTAACATCTTCAGTCTTCATGACCTTTCCTGCAAATTCACGGATGCCTTTGATGGCTCTTGGTGCCCTCTTCTTAAATGAAATCTTGTGAACCATCTTGCTCAGATTGATGGTGTAATCCCTCGTACATGGTGTCATTGAACCTTTATTTCCTATATTTTATGTTAAAACAATGATTCAGAATGATTACTAATCAACAAACGGCCAGCGTTATGTTTGAGTAAACCTACCTTGTGCCATATTAATTAACTTCGAAAATAAGCAGTACTATGAGAATGAATAGTAATATTTACACAATATTTGAGAAACTCTGAGAAAGTTCAGAATTGCTGCACAGTTTATTCTACTTTTCGACGATTGATTTAAAACGAGATTTAGCAGTGCAAGACGAGACAATACAGAAAAAATGGCGGCAAAATGTTAATTAAATTTATGAAAGAAAAGCAAATTTATTCATACTAATTAACGCCTTTATATACATCATGATTATTTTTTATATGGGTCATTAAGTTATTAAGTAATATCTTGGGACCTTGATGTATCTCGCTGCTTGAAAACTGAATTTGTTCATTGCAAAGAGCCACTAGTTTCGAAATAAAATCTGTTGTAATGTTTTGATTCCCTTGTTCTAGATAGTACATATACTTTTCTAGAATGTCTATAAATAATACCGAATTACTTGGAGCTACTTGCACTGCAGAATCAGCTATTTTCAGGCACTTTTGCAAGCATTCTAAAACTCTTGTTGCATCCCTATTTTCTTCGTTATTCCAAAATAGGTGGGAGCACATTAATATTGCTCTACACTGGTCCGGCTTGCGTAACAACTTTGCGGAGTATTGTGCCAATTTTGCGGCTAGTAGCTCGTAGTTATCTTTACTTAAGCATTGGATTCGCCCTACAAGCGTTCCAATAATTGACATCAGTCCCTGAAATTGCCTTTTTGACTCTGCAAGCTCTTCTTCAAAACAAACAAGACTTTGGGTAAGGAATTCATAGCAAATTGCTTCGTACCCATCCGAATTGTTTGCTTTATCTGCCATTATTGATCCCTGTAGGAATAAGTCAAGAGCTAGTTCTGGTGCACAAGTAACAAGGATGATTGCAATCTTATGAATAAACTGAAATATCTTTTTTACAGATAATTTTGAGAGTTCATGATCTGTTTTTTCCTTTGATAAAGTTGTTTCAATAAGATTTATGGCACAATATCCCAAAGTTGGGAATGTATATTTAAATCTTGAACTATCCATACGATTAAATAAGTCAAAAAGAATTCCGTACATGCTGAAAATTTGGTTCAAATCCTCGTGTTTGATCTGATGGACCAACTTTGAGACTTTCATTTGTTGATAAATAAATTCATTATTTTCAGTTATTGATAAATCAGCTTCCTCACTTGTATGGGTGCCTTTTTCATCTAGCATAGGTAGAATAAAAGAACAAAATCTTTGCAATGCATCTGCATCATCGAACGGAGTGTTGTTTTCCACAATCGTGTTGATCAAAGAAAGTGCAACCTTTTTCCCTGCTTGTTTATTTAGAAAATAAAGAAGGTTTGGAAAATGGTTCATCTCTACCATAATGGATAGAGGCATTGACTGGAATGGGAGCGAAAGTATCTCAACAATAGTATCAATACATTGGCTATCCAGAAGTGATCCACATGTTCCGTCAACTCTCACTCCAAGTGCATTTGTAAGTAGTGTTACTGTTGATCCGAGAATTAAGTCTACGTAATTCGTGTTGTCTGGATATAACGTGAGAGTGAATGCAAGGAATGCAGCGTGCAATTCTAGCAAACTAGACAAGTCTCTTTCCAAATTATTGGAAATCTGCTTTTGAGTATTTGGGTTTGGCCTTTCGTGTAATTCGGAAAGGTTTTTTCTGAATAATTCAAAAATATCAATATCATTTATTAAACTCTTGTCATTACTTTGACTTAAATAGTTTGAGAGCCTATTCATGAGATTAGTTAAAATTGGCTTTAAATCAACCCCAGGTAATGTTTTCATACATGCCGACAATAAAAGTTCCAAAGTTTTGAGGTGATTTTCATCTGAAAAAACTTGAATTATACAGTCTAGCAAGTATTGTTGTGCTAGAACATCCTCACATGATAAAACTACATTAAGTAGTTTTGGTAGTATTTCCTGAATGTAGAGTTGCTGAGTCAATCCTTCCAAATGTGAGATTCGAACAAGATTCGCGCCCACAAGTATTCTAAGATCGTGCCTCTCACGTTCTCTTCTTAATTTATCTTTTGGAGTTCCATGATTTTGTAAACGTATCCACAATCTGGTTGATTCACAAAAATTTGAATATAAGAAGTCCCATGTATCCATTATTGTTCCTCCGCCATTTTCTTCATATATACTTCCTGTATCAGGTAGCACGTCTTTGCAAGTTTGAATTAGAAAGTACCTTAAAAACAATCCTCTCATTGGATGCTGAACACCTTTGCATAGTTCAGACATATCCTTCAAAATATCTCTTGCTGGTGCTTCAAGAGATCTAATATAGCAAGCACCTGCAGTTATTAGCAGAAAGAGACGTGGAACAATGTTACCCGCATGCTGTACTGAATCATATAGATCACTCATTTTTCTTCCATGGCGAGATTTGTCATCAAAAAAGTTAGATAAGTCGCGCATTTCTTGAAAAATTTGCATATATAGCTCGTAGTAATGCTTAGGAGAGAGGGATGACGTACGCAATTCACACAACATATTTGACGCATGCCTAAGGGCATCTCTTAGTCCGTCTTGATCGATTGCGCGTTTCATATAATATGCCTGCTCTTTAACAACACTACTAGCCTCAGCCAGAAGAGTATTCTGGCCATAGTTTTCAACCTTATATATTCTATCCATATTATTATTCGGAACAAGTTGGAAAAATTGTATTATTTCTCAACTTGCCCTATTAAATTCGGCAAATTTGATCAAATTTAATATTCTATTGATATATTTTCTGTAAAATTTCGAGAAAGTAGTTGCCGCTCTTGAGGGGAAAGCTGCATGTAACAAAAAACATTTCAATGGGAATTTTAAGATAATTAGTTATCAAACTAGTATTTAACAATAGATGCGGCCTCAAGTTTTTGAACAAAATTAATAATTTTTGAAAAATTTAACAATAAAAATTAGCCATTAATACTTGAATTTGCTTAAAATTTTGGCGATAATTTAGATGTTGTTATTGCTCTGAAATTTTGATAAAATTGCTCAATTATTAACATTATATTTATATAATTATATATTAATATATTATAATTTGAATTTTTACCAGTCCGGCGTGAAGCCGGGCGTAGCTCAGGGGTAGAGCGATTGACTGTAGACTTGGCAGACATCAATTGGTCCCGTGTTCGATTCACGGTGCCCGGACTTTTTCCTTTTTGACCTTAAAAAGGTGCGAGCCGGCGCGGGGTTAGATCCAAACACAGCAGTGCCACGAAAAAATTAAGGGAAAAAATGCTTAATGTTTTTTCTAAGATTGTTAATTATCGAGTTCAAGTTTATTTCATCTAATTTTGAATTAGAGGGTAGCGTTGATAATATGTGAAACTCTTGAGTAGTAACTATCAAGTATTTGAAATTTTTTGTGCTTAAAATAATTGTAATTGATGAGTCATTTTGCCTTCTTGTTTGAGAATGCGCAGTTTCTATTAGATTGTAATACATTTGGAAAATCGTTTTTAAATCATGAATTTCAGGATGCGCTTCACTAATGATATAGCTATTCTTCGCAATAGATACATAGACAAGGTGATATAACTCTGCTTTTAAATAGCAGTTTTCATTCATTAGCTTACTCAAATTAAATGCATTAATTTTACTTGATTCTAAAATCTTATAATACCCAGTTTCTATAAGTGATTTTCGGCAATTCCTTGAATGCGCAGAACATTTTTCAAACACTCTTGTATCTCCGCTTGAGGATAATAAAACAAAACAGGTATTAGATATTGAGTTTGAGAGTTCGTCAACTAAAGGCCAGCATTGAATATAACAATATATATATGAAACCGTACTTATGGTTGGGAGACATATAGGAATCCAAAATTCATTACTTAAAGTTTTTTTGTTTAGAAAAATAGATGTAATATTTTTTAATAACGAGAAATCTGTGGATGGTAGATTTTTAATATATTTTGATCCGAACCAAGAGACCAATTTTTTGGACTCGAACAATATTCCACCCAGTATCTCTTCCATTTTTATTCTGCTGATAATTTTATTTATTTCCTTTCTATATCTGTATTCCAAGGGTTGTGACTCTATATATAAAATTTTGTGTATTAAGGGTGAAGAGTATTTGATATTATTTGATTGTCCCTGCAATTTAATCATTTTTGAACTTTTATTGAAGTTATAGAAACAATATACAGAATCAAGGTTTATTTGAGCACAATTTGCGCATTGATCAATAATATTAATATCGCTATTACTAAGCATCTGCTGTATATCAAAATTTGGTCTGGAGTCAAGAATTTTGTGAATTGATCCAGTAAGCATCATAACAATCTGATAATAAACATATTCTAGAAGTCCTTTTAAAAAACGAACTGTATCGCTTGGAAATGGCGAAATACAACATAAAATAATATTTTTTCTCTCTAATACTACAATAATATGCGATTCTGAGCTCATCCATTTAAGATAATCTAGTATCTGTGTATGCTCATCACCTTCATTACTATAAACCTTTTTTGACATCACAAATGATATTTTGCTGAACATTGCTGTAAATGCGCTTGAAAATAAGTTAAATACCACTGAGTCAGTAATTCCATATGAGTAAATAGGTTTTCCTGCAGAAGTAAAAATTAATAATTTACGAAATTTATCATTATTATCTATGGGCATCATGAACATGAATTTGAATAATTTTTTATGATTCGATATTTAGTAAAGGATTGTTTATAATTATTTATTGTGGCGCTTGTATTCGTGCAAAAAATTGTTTTAAATTGTACGACTAAATCCAGAATTAATGAGGAAAGAATAACATAATGACAGATTTAAAATGTAGAAAGCATATAGATTTAAAAGCTATTTTGGATTTCTATAAATTGGAACTGGAGTCTGACAATAAAACTTATATCAATGAGGCATTAAGAAGATATAGCATTGTGAGCAAAGTTGTGGGGAAGGACTATTCTGAGTTATATTTATTACCACTTGTATTAAAAGTATTAGAAATTGGAAGCTATGAGGTGAATCATATTGTTTCAGAAGAATTAATAAATATTATTGACCCAAATACTCAATATTCTGAAGAAAGTAAAAGAACTATAAAGGATATTTGCAATTATCTTTTATTTAACGAAGAGATGAGTATTCGAATGGAAAGTATTAAATCTCTTGAAGTCGTTTTTTCAAGGCTTCAAGGAGAAAGTTTTATACTATCTTTTATTGAGGAAATTCTACTTCCAATAATAAAGACTAAATTTGATTACTTCGGCGATCATTATACATCTTCAAATTCATCATTAACAGATAAACTTTCTCTTTGTAATATAATACCATCGCTCATATTTCCATATTGTAACAAGTTTGAAAAAAACAATCTACTATTACTATATCTCTCTTTATGTGATGATGAAGTTCCTTCACTTAGAATTGGTGCATCACAGAAATTAGTACAAATTTTAAAAAATATTTTTCCTTTAAAGTGCGGAATGAGTAGATTTGAATACCAACAATTAAAGCTTTCTGATCAAAATATTATTACAGAAAAGCTTCTAAACCTAGTATTAGCATTGTACAAGGATCAAACTTGCGATATACTAAAGCCAGCATCCATTGGAATTGCGATTCAGTTATACACGAATCCAATTTTTTATATGGAATTTATTAGTTATGATGACAGGAACAGTCTACTACATTTTATTTGTAGTGTTTTTGAAGGTAGAGCATATTTGCAAAGACAGGCAGTAATAGAAGAACTAATTCCACTTTGCCTATCTTTAAAAGGATATTATGAGTTGAGTCAAGAGGGCAATGAAGGAATAAAGTTTAGTGGATATATTTCAAATGATAATTGTAATATTCTTTCTAATATTAAGACTATTAATTATTCTGTGGACATAATTCAATTTGTACTAGAGAATTTATCAAAAGAAGTTGATATTGAAATTAGATCATTGATATTTAAATTTATTGAAAAGTTATTAAAAATGGGAATTGATTTATTTGAATCAAATAAAAGTTTAATATCAGACCAAACAATAGAGTATCAAAGGAAATCTGCTATAGACGAAGTTGTAATTTCGATAATTTTCTATATAAATAAAAATATTTCCGAACTGCTGGCAATTGGAAGTATTCAATTTAAATGCATCTTTTGTAAAATATTGGTACAAATGATTATATATTCCCAAAAATTATTTGAATATGAATCTTCAAATCAAAAAGTTGGGAGCTTAAGTAATAATCTGGAACATTTAAAAGTTAAGGATATTTTTATCAAAGTTTTTATCTCGCATTTCAATGACTCAAACATTAATGTGGTTAGTACCGCTATAGAGAACTTACATAAAATAATAAACTTAGTGAGCGAAGAGCAACTCAGCGATTTTATATTACCGAAGATTAAGTCTGTATTATTTACTGAAGTTGATTTAGTCACATATAATAACAAACGTGTCGAGAAGTCCACTACATTACATAAATGGAGAATAATTAGGTGTATCATTAGACAGATTCCTCTATGGATTAGATACAATCAGCTTTGCGTTAGAGTTTGCCCATTTTATAACTCTATTATTGTGCGTTCAATTTTAGACACTGCATTTTCAGTAAGTATTTCTGCATTGCAAACAATAATGAGGATTATTTCTAAGTTCAATGATATCGATGAATGCGCAACTTGGATGAATGAATTTATTATTCCATCCATTCTAATACCATATATTGAGAATAAAACTCATTCAATAAAATATACATTTGATACGATAGATTATATTAATTACAACAATACAGATGACTCCATTTCTAACAAAAACATTGAAATATATGAATACAAATTTGAAAGCTGCGATTATATGAACAGAATTCTAATTATTAATCTAATTTTCGCTATTTACCGTTCCTTATTTTATAAATGGGCATATATCAACTTTCAGGAATTTAAAGATTACTTGAATTCGATTGCTTTAAATATGCCCAATAATTTTAAAACTAATGGATCAAGCATAGAAGGACAGAACAATTTCCCTATTGGAGTGCTATCAAATATTTTGGATGGAGAAGAATTATTTATCAAATTCTCAAGACTGGTTGTACCGGTGATCAAAAATTCCATTGATGACTCAATAAAAAACGTTTCAATCGCAACTTTACAGTTATTAGTTCAAGTTATCAAAATATTTTCGTTGGATATGTATTTCATTTGGGACAAAGAAAAGTTTGCTTGTTCTAGCTTCGGGGAAAGAGACGAATTTAGTGCAAACAACGACGCTGACGAGTTTCTGAAAGAACATTTACTGAATCAATTTGAATTTGACTCTGTATGGCACCTTAGAAGGATAATGTCAAATAATAAAATAGATCAGAAGGATGTTTATCTTTTTCCTAATTGTATATATCAAGAATTTATCTCTGTGTTTGAGAAGATCGATAAACTAGAAGTTATTGAAAGCGATATGGAATTAATTGGAGAAATTAATTCCATAAAAAATTGGTACAACATTTATAAAAATAACCCATCAAACCCAGGAAAATACTTTGTTTAAGCTACATTTTGGCGGCTTTAATTGAGACGATCATCAAACTTTTTTTCAATTATTTTAGAATGAGCAACGAAATGAATAATCAATCTCAAATTAGTGACACGCTAGACAGCGTACACTATACTGATAATAGGTACAAAATGATGGAGTGTATAAAGGACGCAGGCAGACCGTTTTATCCACACAAGTTTAAAATCTCAATGTCGCTTCCAGCATATGCTTTGAAATACGGTAATGTTGAAAATGGGTATATTGACAAAGACACAACTCTTTCGTTGTCTGGAAGAGTTACATCAATTCGAACTTCAAGCTCTAAATTAATATTTTACGATATTTTTTGCGAGGAGCAGAAAGTACAAATTATTGCAAATATTATGGAGCACGACATTAGCACTGGCGATTTCTCTGTTTCTCACTCTGAAATTAGGCGAGGAGATATAGTTGGATTTACAGGGTTTCCGGGAAAATCAAAGAGAGGAGAGTTATCATTATTTAGTAAGAGTGTAACTTTGCTTTCTCCATGCTATCATATGTTGCCTACAGCGATTTCTGGTCTGAAAGATCAAGAAGTAAGGTACAGGCAAAGATATCTTGATTTGATGTTGAACGAGGAGAGTAGAAGAGTTTTCAAACTAAGAAGCAGAGCTATTA